ATAAGCTCCATCCTTCCTGCCAACCCAGAATTACCCTTATTAGCCATATTTGCCATCAACGCTTTTAGGAAGTGGCTTTGTTAACACAAGTTATTGCTTCATTTTTTGTATCCAGATCATGTCATATTCAATCTGTTGGTTTGAAGCGCTGTAATCCTGTTGGGATATGTTGTATCTTTTCCTTAATCTATGGAAGAAAATTTTCCCCTTCTTGTGTGTAGATGTTATTTTCAGCTTCTTGTGTTTTATTTTCCTGCGTTTGTGCCGAGATTGGAGTTGGAGATTTTGATTCCGGTGTGGTCGAGAGATTGGATCTAGTCTGGTTTCGTTTGCTGTAGGTGCAGCTCGGTGATGTCTCTATTCTGGATCTAGTCTGGTTGTGAGATTGGTTATGGTCAGGCACCGTTTTTTGAAGATAAGGCGCTTCCGGTCGAGACTGGTTCTCGTGCTTGGAAGGGGTGAGATCTTCTCGGTCGTAGTACATCGATGGATCTCCTTTTGGGTTTTGGTCATTCGTCGTGTTGGTTCTAGTAAAGGAATAAGTGTTGCGCGTTTCTGTTTTTGGTTTTAGGTTGTTGTATCTTCAAATGGTTTTTATCTGTTCTTTCCCTAGGTCTTAATCGGATCATATCCTTCACCATTCTTTCTTTTTGAAGTTTTGGTGTGTCGATTAAGCGGCTGATTTAGCCTCCTCCACTCGAAGTTAACAACAGCTTTGGTCGAGATCTGTTTGGTTTGTTGCGCCCAACTCACCAGTTCTCTGTTGACTGTGTTTCAACTTATCCGGCCTCGGATTCTTTACAACGGTCCTAGCCTATGGGAAGGTACCGTTTAGCCATCCTAAGGATTTGCAATTGTTAAAAATTCTGAAGTCTCCAAACATCAAGGGAAGACTTGAAGAGCTGAAACCGCGTTTGGGTATTGACGATTCTCCGGAGATGCCTGATATGTTTTTGTTCTCAGGTTGGACAAGTTAAAATTATTTGTGGTATAGCTAGTTTATTCTTTCTTAACGCGCTAGTTCTAGTCCATTTTAATTGTTTTTGTTTGTACGCTCCCCGTTAAATTTTCGGGCTACGCTCTCCGGTAATTTTTCGGACTACGTTCCCCACTAAATTTTCGGGCTTTGCTTTCGATGCTACCTTGTTTGATAAATAATACTACTCAGTGACAAAAAAAATAAGAAGAACACGTAACCAATGTAAAAGGGACGAGTGTCCCCTAGCTACTGTTTTGTTGTTTCAACCTG